ACTAGCGAGGCACTGATTCCACTGAAGTTAGAAAAGGAGAAATTAATGGAAACTCTTTCAGAATATGTAAAATAAAATAATAATTAATAAGATCAAATCATTAATTATAAACACTCAACAGTATGCAAACAAAATCTTACAGACAAAATGAAGCGAACTGCAATAATTATCATGCTCTCACATGTTTTGAATCATCTACACAGCAAGACTACTAATTAGATACGAGTAGAAGTAGCACATCTGAACATGTTAATTAAAGAAAAATAACTTTAATTACTTAATTAAAAGGGATAATTAAAAGTGAAGAGAAACACTTGATTCAGAACTAGCTGGTAGCCAAAAATTCAGAACAAGCTAGGTATATGTGGATTTGCTAGGGTTGATTTAGCAAATGATCGGACCGAGACGCTTGATTCCCCTTGAGCCAAAGAGTTAGAAAACCCTTTTGTCGGAGAAACCCTACTCATACAATAAGTAGAGTTTTGATCTCATATGTAAGAACTAAGAAGTAGCAGTACTAGTGAAAGCCTATGCCAGTTCTCTCCTCCTCCTCCTCCTCCTCCTCTTCTTCTGCTTCTTCTTCTTCTTCTTGCTGTTGATCTTGATCGGCTGCTGCTTGTTGTTTTGGCAGCAGTAATAGCAGAACTAGAAGTAGGTTTCCTGCAGGTGATGAGTAATGTTGGAGATGATGATGGTGGTGGTGGGGTTGGTGCATGGTGGTGGTGGTGGTGATGATGATGATGATAAAGGTGGGGGTGAGGGGGTAATGATGGTGGTAGAGAGTCAGAGGGAAGGGCAAGGAGGAGAGCATCATGATTGCTGTTTGGTTCTTGTGTTGAAACTTTGAACAAAAATCCAAGCTATTGCTATTGTGAGCCATCGCTGTTCTCTCTCTCCTGATGGATATCGAGGAATTATTATCATGAAGGCCTTTGGTGTGTGGTAGCTTTTTCAAGTCCCCCAGCTCCTGTTCTCTAAGAAAAGATTTTTGCATTTTCTATAAGGAAAAGGGAATCTCCTGCAACACTTGTTGGACCCCTCGGTTCCTACATCCCAATCAACTTCCTCCAAACCGTACCTTCTAATTCTACATGTCTAATATTTTACCTCAAAAAAATTCTACATTTCTAATAGGGAAAGTTTATCAAAGTTTAACTAATAATTTAATTATCAATTTTCATGTCATTTAGTTTATAAAATTTAGTCTTCCTAGTATTACTCTTTTTAATATTGAGTTCAAAATTTTTTACTTCGTCATAGGGGGTAGTTAGGGAAGCAGATGACTGAAGAATGCATGGTCACATACCTTTAAAGTTTGAAGACGTGCTTAGCCATGAATTTTTTGTCACATGATTACTAAGAGAATGAGATTATACCTAATCAGTGTAGTTCTTCTAACAATTGTTAATGTTAATAAAAGATACTAGTTCAAGAATCAAACTCTAAAAAGAATGAATAAAAATCATGAATTACCGCAATAACAATATTGGATTCCTAATAACATTTGAGTTCAAGAGTTTTTTTTGTCCCTTCAGTGGTGTATTTTTAGTGTTTTTCACTATGAAAAAATAATTGTAGGGGGTTTTTAGTGAAGAACTAGGGTACACTATATTTTGCTCACCGCCATTAATATCATATATTGTCTTGTAGTATTACATATATACACATAATAAAATTACACATTCTAATTAAATAACAATTCAACAAAAAAAGTATTATACAAAAGAAAGTTAAACAAGTTGGTCCTAAAGAGTGAGACACCAAAATTAGTGAAGCTTAGATGGTGTGTACGTTGCAGCTTATATTTTCAATTTCTTTTCTTTTTAAATGCTCTCCATTTTTTAATTGACTACAGTAAAAGGCTGTTTGTAACTGTATGTAGAGAGTTGCTGAAACCCTGAAAGCTTTATCGGTTTTAGTTAAAGATGCAAATGGCAGGCCAACATATATAAACCAATTTATATAAGAAACTAATTAAAAATGGCAGAGGAATCTAGAAATGATCAAGAATGACAGAGATAAAGAATCAAATAATATATTTACATGAGAGAGAGAGAGAGAGAGAGAGAGATGTGATACAAAATTGAGGGAGAACTTGTGAGCTTGTGAGGATAAAATGCATGCTGTACTCCTGCAAAAGCATTTTGTTAAATAAAAGTGGACAGAAATGTTTGCTAGTAATTCAATCTTCTTCCTGTCAAAAACAAAAGTAGTCTTTTCTTATTTTTATAATTGCAAAGCTTGAAGCAGGCTAGCCAGGGTAAAATTATTTTAGTTTAGTTCTGAAGTGCCTAGAGAGAAAGGATAAGATTCCCAAATAAAGCATATTTTGAAGGGATCATTTCAGTCCTCTCTATACCTGCAATGATCATCCTCAAAGTACTCAATTAACAACTCTTTTATGCTGTGTGTGGTTTGTCCTGCAGATGAAAATATGAAAAATCCCACAATCTTGAATCCTGAAGAAGGAATGTAGGAATATTCAATTTTAAATTCTGATTAAGCCCTAAACCCTGGATGTTAGGGAATGTGGAAGTCGAAAATGTTAAGAGTTGTCCCACATCGGTGAGGGACAAGGTTTATCATGTGCTTATATGGTCTTGGGTTACTCACCATATTGCCAATTGGTTTTATGGTGGAACCTCAATTTCATCATGGTATCAGAGCAAGGTTATCCACGTGTGAAACCCAACGGCCACACGCCCTCCACGTCACTCAGTTGTTGTCCACGTGTAGGCTTGAAAATCCGCTACACGTGTGGAGGTGTGTTGAGAGTTGTCCCACATCGGTGAGGGACAAGGTTTGCTATGTGCTTATATGGTCTTGGGCTACTTCCCATATTGCCAATTGATTTTATGGTAGAACCTCAATTTCATCAGAAAACGCAACCACAAATGTATGGACAATATACTCTTAGCTAATTGAAGTACAAGCTCATCGCTAATATCAAAGTGCTACATTGTACAAATATTTACAAACTGGAGCAAACTGGAGGAATGTCGGGAGCTTGTGGCACATGAATGGGAAGGTAATCTTGGTGGCTCCCATGCTTTCCGGATCTGTGAAAAATTAAAAATGCTTAGGAAGAGGCTTAAGGCGTGGTATCAAGGCAGGGGTAGAAATTAAAAAAAAGCCATTGATAAATTGAAAGAAGAGATAAGGAGGGCTTACACGTCTAATCAATTTGCCTCTGAGGAGGTCAAACTGAAAGAAAGAGATCTTCGGTCTGCTCTTAGAAACGAAGAAGCCTACTGGAAAGCTAAATCCAGAGTTCAGTGGCTACGAGAGGGAGATAAAAACACAAAATTCTTTCATGCTCAAACTTTGAAACGAAGGAGATACAATCAGATAAAGGGTCTGGAGGACTCCAATGGGAAGTGGCATGACTGTGACAAAGATATCTGTGATATTGCCAACTCTTATTTCACTGATTTATTTCAGTCCTGTAAGCCCAGCCAAATCAGGGATGTAGAAGACTGTATGGAGACCAGGGTGTCACCGGAGGACAATCGTGAACTTGTGGCACCTATCACTGATGAGGAAATCAAGGAGGCGGCCTTTCAAATTCCTTCCGAAAGAGCCCCGGGGCCTGATGGATTCTCTGGATGTTTCTATAAAGATCACTGGACGACAGTGGGAGAGGATGTGGTGAAGGCCATCAAAGCTTTTTGGCACTCTGGAAAAATGTTGAGGAAAATAAACCACACAAATTTAGTTCTCATTCCCAAGGTTAAATGTCCAAAGAACATGACACAATTCAGACCTATTGCCCTCTGCAATGTTATCTACAAGATCCTGGCAAAGGTGATAACCAACAGACTCAAAAAGATAATGCCGAAGGTGATTGGCGAAAATCAATTTGCTTTTGTCGCTGGGAAGCAAATTCAGGACAACATTCTAGTGGTTCACGAGCTCTTTCACTCCCTGAACCATCAAAGCAAAGATATTCAGAAAGGAATGGCCATCAAGTTGGACATGGCAAAGGCTTATGACCGTGTAGAGTGGGATTTTCTTCTCTCCATGATGTCGAAATTGGGGTTTGCGCCGATGTTCTGCAACAGGGTAAAAGAATGTATTTCTACTGTATCCTTTAGTATCCTCATCAATGGCTCCCCGACGGGTTACATCCAACCGAAGAGAGGCTTGAGACAAGGGGTTCCCTTATCTCCTTTCCTTTTCTTAATTTGCACCGAGGGCTTCTCCAGTTTGATCAGGAAAGGGATGGAGCATGGAACCCTTCACGGCTACAAGTTTACACCTAACGGGACTCCTCTTACCCATCTCTTCTTCGCAGACGACTCGGTCCTCTTTGGGAATGCTACGGTCGAGGAGGCCCAAGGTGTGGCAGATATCCTGAAAGTGTATGCTAGCGGATCTGGGCAGGAAATTAATTTGTCCAAAAGTTCGATTTTCTTTGGAACTTCGACTTCTAAAAGGACTAAGAAGAGGATCGGAAATACGCTGGGGATACCATATAAGGATGGCTTCGGGAAATACCTTGGCCTGCAGGCCGATTTTGGACTCTCCAAAAAAGCGGTCTTTGCGGAGATTCGAGATAAGATCGAAGCCAGGTTAGCAGGTTGGTCGGAGCAATTCCTATCCCAAGCTGGAAAGGAAGTCCTGGTAAAGGCAGTTGCTATGGCTCTGCCAAATTTTTCCATGAGTTGCTTCAAACTCCCCATTGGGGTATGTAGGGATGTGGAGAAAGCAGTCCGGAGCTACTGGTGGAGAGGCAATGACCAGAAAAGGGGATGTCACTGGATTTCATGGGATCGGCTAATGAAACAAAAATTGGCCGGTGGTTTGGGATTTAAGGATATCCAGTGCTTTAACCTGGCTTTCCTAGCTAAGATTGGTTGGCGTTTGATCCAAAACCCCACTTCCCTACTTGCAACTGTCTTAAGAGATAAATATTTCCCAGGGATTCAAGGAAGCTGGAAGAGGGAGAAACACTTCGTGGGGATGGAAAGGCATCTTTGAAGGTCGTATGATCCTTCAACATGGTGTTAGATAGCGGGTTGGAGACGGGAAAAGCAAATATCCGAAAGGATCCGTGGTTACCGACACCTACCACCTTCTTGGCTAACCCGTTGGATAGTCTAGAAGAAATCAAGGTCCGGGACTTGATTGACCCAATCTCAAAATCTTGGAAAGAAGAGGTCATCTCGGCCGGTTTCAACCGGGATGAAGCTAGGAAAATTTTAAGTATACCCCTAAGCAAATCTGGCTGCCTTGACAGATTAGTTTGGCATTATACGGTGAATGGAGATTACTCTGTTAAAACTGGATATGGAGTGGCAATGAGCTTGATGGAGAATGGCGCCCTGGGCAGGAATGGACGGGGTGCGCCTAGTGAGCACCGAAAGAACAAGTTGATATGGAAAATGATTTGGACGTTGCAGGTTCCCAACAAAATCAAATTTTTCATATGGAAGTGCTGCAACAAGGCTCTGGCGGTGCGACACAACCTGCAACGCCGTCAAATACGAGTCGAAAACATCTGTGGGGTATGTCACACTTTTGATGAATCGGAAAATCATTTATTCTTCCATTGTGAATTTAGCCATCGTTTCTGGTTTTGTTCTCCTCTACACATAAATTCTCATGAGTTGGCCGGTGCCGACTTCCTGGAGAGTTGGGATAAAATATGTTCCAGAATCAAGAATATGGAAAAGAAAGAGGAGATTCTCCAGGAGGTTGCGTTTGGTCTGTGGCGTCTCTGGAAGAATAGAAATGAAGTGGTATTTAATGGTGTACATAGACAACATTTGGAAGTCATGACTCTATGGGGAAAGAATATTTCTGAGTAACGTGAGGCTCTGTCCCTAAAACCAGAGGGTGAATGTCATCTGATTTCCAAACCCCACAAGATGGAGAAGCGTCCGCAGCTTCGGTGGCAGAAACCAAATTTTGGAACCATCAAGGTGAATACCGATGCGGCCTGGTGCAGATCTTCAATGCGAACTGGAGTTGGATGGGTGGGCCGCGACTTTGCGGGTCTGCTTCAATTTGCTGGAGGATCGGGAACTGGTTTTTGTCATAGTGCGGCGGCTGCTGAGGCATGTGCTATTCGGAGTGCTCTGATGGCTTGTATTGAAAATGGTTTTGATAAGGTGATAATTGAATCTGATGCTTTAGTTATCATTAAGATGCTAAGAAAGGTCTCTCCACAAGACTACAGCATCGAATGCATCCTTGGTGACATCGAGATTCTAGTACAGAGGTTAATGTCAATGACATTTTCGTTTGTACCTAGGGAGAGCAACCATGCGGCTCACTCGGTGGCGAAGTTTGCCTTGCAGCAAGGTGGTGATTATGTTTGGGATTGTATTGGGCCGAAGTTTTTGTTTAATGTTCTAGCCCACGATGTAAACATTTCTATTCGCCTTTAATTTATTCTATCTTCGGTTTAAAAAAAAAAAATTACCCAAAAGAAAAAAATATATACTCTCTACTATCATGTGATTCATTAACAATAGAAATTGAATATGATTTTTTTTCACCATCATAAACGATTCGTGTAGAATACGAGCTTAGTATTTGTCCCTAACCAAACATTGTTTGTATCTCAAAAGAAAAAAGTTGCTTTGACAAAAAGAAAGTTGCAAGAAATTACCAAATAGTTAAACATGCAATGAGCCTGAAGAACATTATTCTTAATTCACATATCAACTTGTATTAATCACTCAAAGACTTTATGTTTTGACCCTGATAAAGTCCCCACTTAATTCAACCAGCCTTTTATTCCACTTTGTAATATAGTCCGACGGAAAGAAAACCCTAGCTGGCCAAAAAAGTAGACATTCCCGGATATTCAAATCTTTTTAGCACCAAACAAATTCCAAAACCAAAGATCAAAAGTTCACAGTATTTCGTGTCTAGCCAGCCTTAATCAGTGCTTGTTTCATGTCACAATCACTTTATGATATTCCATTACCATCCAAAGCAAAACTTATTTTGTCATCCATTTTTATTTGGATGAATTGCGAAACGTACATAAAACTGAATGCATACTTCATACGTCTATTTTCATGTGACAAAAGAGACGGATATACAGAATTATATCTAATTTCATGTAACTTATATAATATATATACTCGATTTCATGTAAATTGTAACTCAATATACATCCAATTTTATGTAAGTTCAGATGATAATTATGGCCTAGCAGTTTAATCTGTCATACAACAACCGTATTTCCACCAGTGTTCATGCAGTAGGCAATTAGGTTAGTTATTAACCAACAAAAGAAGAAAGTGAAAAAGGGGTTCGTGAGAGGCAGGAGCTGCTATGCCTCCAACAGGGAAAAAAGTGCATTTTATTCCCTTGAAACCTGTTGATCTCTCAACTCTGCGTATCATCATTACATTGGAAAGTGGGTTGACACCGCCCTTGTTGCAAAAATAGTATAAACAATCGAACATATTAGGCTGACAACAGAGCATGCACATTGCACACACTTTTGTTCTTAGTAGGAATTGTGTGGGGATGCCCAACAATTCATAAGATACGTTTCTCAAAAGTATGAGATGCAATTTGAACTCGGTGTATTTGACCAAAAAAGAAGTTATAACTTGGTATTAGAGTGGGTTTAGTTAGACAATGGTATCGAATTTCTTTTGTTATTTCATTTTATTTGTGTATTCTAATTCCTCATGATGCAATTCTCACTCATTATCGAAATGCTCTAATTAGACAGCCTTACTGAATATTTTTTGCAATTACAGTCTATTAATATCATTTGATTTCATTTGACTCGACGATGTCTCCACTCATTATAAAAATGCTCGTCATACTCAGACAGTCTTACCGAATATATTCTCCTATTCCACACTAGCTTTACTCTTTATACTAGCATTTCGCCTTTTAGGTGCAAGTAGAATTTTGAGCAGTCAGGCTAACCGAACTGAGCCCACATAAGTTTTACAGTCTCTTAGCCCAACATTCTTACTCGGGCCCTAATATTTGGGCCTAAATTATTTGATTTATGAAATATTAAAGCCCATTTGTTTTGGTATTAAAACGAGCCCACATTCAATTTGGTTCAGAATAAGAAATGAAAAGCCGTTTGAGGCCGAGACAGAGAGCGCGGGAAAGATGTTAGTTAGCCGTTGCGCAGTTCAATTCTCTTTTGGGACTTTCTTCAAACACCTTCCGGTATCAAATCCGGCGACGCTCTGTCCGTACAGATTCAGACCCAAAAACCTAACCGCCAACCCAATTCGTAGCTCCTCTTACTTTGAGACGTTAGATTCCTGCCAAAAAGAGCAAGTCCATCTCTATGTCCACACTCTTCTCCAATGGAACCGGGTTTTTTTCTCTCTCCTTACACTTATGCTCTGTTTGGTTGCTGAGAAAATTGCGGGAAAATCATGAAAAGATTACCAATTGATGAAATTTTTGAACTTGCAGAAAATGAATCTGACAGCCGTTAAGGAGGCGGATGAGGTAATGGAGAGGCACATTGAGGACTCGCTCGCAATCATACCGCCTATTAGAAATTCTTATCTCTCTCACTGTAACCCTTCGTCCAAAAACCTCCGCCTTGTAGATGTGGGGAGCGGTGCAGGTCTTCCGGGTTTGATCTTAGCCATTGCTTGGCCAGGTAAGTAACTACTTTGCAAAAGTTCCGATTTTTTTTGTTGCAGTTTTTCGGAAGTTTGTATAATTTGTTCAGGTTTCGCTGGATAGGTTGGGAAGTGACACTGATGGAGTCTATGAACAAGAGATGCATTTTCTTGGAACACGTTGTCGGTCACATTGGTTTGTCGAATGTTCAAGTTGTAAGAGGAAGAGCAGAGGTATGGTTTCGTGTTTTTCGTAGATATAATTTTGTTTCTAGAGATGTCAAATTAAGGATATGAGAGTTGCTGATTCTTGTTACTTTGGTGGTCAGCTGAATACTGTCTTCCTCTGGTTTGCGTTGGCGGTTTGTTTGTTGCTGCAAAGGGCCACGATGTAATCGAAAAGTCTTATCACACTAACCATTCATTTCTGAAATCGTATCCAAAATGTCACTAAAAACTGAACTGGGTTGTGGGAATTGTGTCTAGGTAGATTTATGACTTTAATTACCTCAGCAACATGACGAACAGCCCCTGTTTTTTTCTATTGGTGCAATTAAACTATTAGATATGAAATATTAAGTACTCTGCATATTTGGCACATTTGAACAGGAGGTCAAGAGAACTTTCATGATTTCCATTGTCAGCCCTTTACAGTTCTACATTCACACATGTTCTATTTCAGTGAAAAAATTTTGGGGAAAAAGAAGAAGAAAAAGAAGTTGATTCCATCTCAATGTATTAAAAGGCGGAGGTGTGGGCGAGGCGTTCCATGGATAGCCCCGCCTAGGCATGAGCGAGCCGTTTCATGGATAGCCCCGCCTATGCGTGAGGCATCAGGCGAAGCCTTACGGGACCTTAAATAATAGGGGACTGCTAAGAAAAACAGGGGAATAGGGGACTCTTGGGGTTTTAAAATAAAAGAAAAACAGACTTGGCCAAAATGACGTTGTTTTGGGCCAAGTTATTTAAAAAAAATTAAAGACTTGGCCAAAACGACGTCATTTTGGACCAAATCTTTTTTTTTTTAATCCCTCTTCTTCTTCTTCTTCACGGTCGTCTTCCTCGTGAAGACGCCGCACACCTTGCAACCCTAAACCCAGATGACAGAACCTTCAACTTCAATTTACCCAGACAACAGAGCATTTGACTTCGATTTTGGGTTGCGGATGGATCTGGGAACGCCCGTCAACCGCCTTTAGGCGCGCCTCAGCCGTCTAGGCGAGTTTTCACCCACTCCCATTAGGCAAAGGCGTTATCACTCCCGCCCTGCCTCCAAAATCAAAGATCAAAAGTTCACAGTATTTCGTGTCTAGCCAGCCTTTACCAGTGCTTGTTTCATGTGACAATCACTTTATGATATTCCATTACCATCCAAAGCATAACTTATTTTGTCATCCATTTTTATTTGGATGAATTGCGAAACGTACATAAAACTGAATGCATACTCCATACGTCTATTTTCACGTGATAAAAAAGATGGATATACAGAGTTATATCTAATTTCATGTAACTTATATAATATATATATACTCGATTTTATGTAAATTGTAACTCAATATACCTCCAATTTTATGTAAGTTAAGATGATAATTATGGCCTAGCAGTTTAATCTGTCAGAAAACAACCATATTTCCACCAGCGTTCATGCAGTAGGCAATTAGGTTAGTTATTAACCAACAAAAGAAGAAAAAGAAAAAGGGGTTCGTCAGAGGCAGGAGCTGCTATGCCTCCAACAGGGGTAAAAGTGCTTTTTATTCCCTTGAAACCTGTTGATCTCTCAACTCTGCGTATCATCATTACATTGTGGAAGTGGGTTGACACCGCCCTTGTTGCAAAAATAGTATAAACAATCGAACATTAGGCTGACAACAGAGCATGCACATTGCACACACTTTTGTTCTTGGTATCAGCAATCACTGGTAGATTTTCAACAGTCTCATCTGCAGAATCAGACTCTACATATTTGTTTGGACAAGGTATGGAACCAGTTACAAACCCAAGAATTCCATGTCCATCTAACAAGAGTTCCAATTGAAAATTCCATGTAACATAATTGGAATCAAGTTTTACAGTCACAGTGTTTCCAACACTGAAAATTCCATGTAACCATTTTTATATGAACACACCAAATCAACTAGAAATTCTGAGCAACAGACAAAATGATCAACTTTGCAAGAATCAACACATCGACAATTGAAGATGAACAAATCAAGAATCAACACTAATACACCACAAATCCGTCAAATAGCAACACGATCTTCACCAAAGAAAGCAAGAATCAAATCACCGACTTACAGAAAATCCCAAAGAAATTAAGGGTCACCGACTTAGTGCACTGACGTTAGCTTTAACGAGCGAACAACAGCAACGAGCGATAGAGGCACCAACGAGAAATGCTAGCGGAAGCACAAGGATCGTCGTCAACCGTTAAGAATTACCCGTCGCCGGTGAAGATACCGTGTTAACAAAGCTTACAGAGATTTAGAGAGAGAGAAAGTAGAGAGGGAAAACGACTTTTCAATATTTCACTGTTATTAACTTCAGAATTATTATAAATTCATCCTCACATAACTAACTCATCTAATACACATGTGACACATGGCACACATCTAATACATAACACTTGGCATAATCCTAAGCTAACCTCTGTAGTCTAACAGTTTTAACTTTTAAATTGCACAGAAAGAAAGATGCTTGAACTTATATAATAGTATAATGTTAGAGAGACAAAATTGACAAGGGTTTTTATTACAAATGGTCAAATCGAAATGGTTCCGAATTAGAAAATCAATTAATGTCATCCCTAAATATTAGTGTACAAATCAATATTGTCATTCTGTTTAGATTCCGTTAAAAATTCTGTTAAGATGTTTTATGTGGCACACATGTGAATCCACCACACATAACATGACCCACGTGTAATTTGCCAAAAATTGTTTACAAATTTCAACCATGCAAAGTTGAAATTAAATGGCAAGACAATACCAACGTTTTAACCAAAAGAAACGTAAAAGCAACATTATTGTTCATTGTTCAAATGAAAAGCAACAACAAACTCAAGTATAGCCTCCCAAACTTGTATCTAGCTTATATAATATGAAGTGGGACGGGTAATATGTGCATGAGCAATTTGAGCAAGAAATCGGATTGGATTTGGCTTGAAGCAAACATCAACCCAACCCAACCCAATAGGGTAGGTTTGAAAAACCGAAAACTGAAAAAAAAATCGAACCGAACACCGAACCGGAATAAAAAAAAAAACAAACCGAACTGGATTATATTGGTTCGGTTTCGATTTCAATAGTTCGGAAACCGAATTAGACCAAACCGAACCAAATTCTAAACCTATTTAAACGAGTTTTATGATACTTAACTAACCCTTACTAACTAATACATTACACTGTGTACATGTGCAATTAGATTAAGGATTGTTATTGTTTTTTATTGCCAACTGCTTAAGATGAAATGGATTTTGGCAGGAGCCAATTGCTTAACAAATACACGGTACGAAATGGATTCTATGTTAACTTCCCATTGCATATAATTATTGGAATTTAGTTTTTGCATTACAATTATTTGAGGTCAGTGCCTTATGTGACCATGCATTTTAATTATGTTTGGTTATCCATGTTAGCTTAGCTTGATACAATTATTAGTATCATTTTTGGTACTGGAATATATGCATCTTCCCATATTTTTGGTAATGGAATAAATATGCATCTGCCCTTCCATTGAAGTTTCAACAATGCATACATTAGTGATATAGTGTACCATGCAACGGTGTTAGTACTTATTGAGAAAAAAAAAAATATATATATATATATATATATATATATAAACTGAACCAAATTTAAACCAAACTTACAAAAATCGAATCGAAGTCAAACCGAACAAAAAAAAACTGAAAGAAAAATCGAACCAAACCGAATAGTAACTTCGGTTTGATTTTTGGTTTAGGCAAAAAACCGAACAAAAAGGAACCGAACCCACCCCTACAACCCAATAAATAATCATGTTGAGGTCAGGTTGGGTTTTGGCGGGTTTTTCCTTTATTCTAACCCTCTCGATCGAGTTTAAAATCAAGTTGGGCATGAGCGGATTCGGGGTGACCCAACCCATGTTGCACTCCCATTGTGAGGAGTGCAAGATGAAATTTTTGGAATGCTAATAGCAGTTCTTAAATTTTTAATGACAAACTTGAGATGAAAATACATTAAGGATCAAGATGAAGCAACTCAAAAACTTTTGGCACAAAATCGAAAATGGTTTGAAGGGCCACTTGATATAATAATTGATAGTCATAATAAAACTATGTGCTTGATATAATAATTGATAGTCATAATAAAACTATGTAATATTTTGATGTGGCAACACACTTTTTGTCACATCCCAGCCCGGGGTGGATCACTTCCCGTGCCCACTCCACCACCGTAGCACGATATTGTCCGCTTTGGGCCCCGACCACGCCCTCACGGTTTTGTTTCTGGGAACTCACGAGCAACTTTCCAGTGGGTCACCCATCATGGGAGTGTTTTGGCCCCATTCTCACTTAACTTCGGAGTTCCTACGGAACCTGAAGCCAGTGAGCTCCCAAAATGCCTTGTGCTAGGAATGAGAATATACATTTAAGGATCACTCCCCTGGACGATGTGGGATGTTACAATCCACCCCCCTTAGGGGCTCGACGTCATCGTCGGCACACCACGGCCAGGGAGCCAGTGAGCTCCCAAAAGGGCTCGTGCTAGGTAGGGATGAGAATATACATTTAAGGATCACTCCCCTGGACAATGTGGGATGTTACACTTTTTCTCTTCGTGTGGATTAAGGGAAATTCCCCTACATGATTTTTATCAAGACCTCATCTCAAAAGCCCTATCCTCATCTCATAAGTACCGTACTTTTCACAATATATATATATATATATATATATATATATATATATATATAGGGCCCTTACCAAGAGGGTGTCATCATTGACTTTAATGAAATTGTGTGGTTGAGTAGGAAATCTTTAAGGGAAGATATTCCTATTTTTTTTAAATAGGAATTAGTTGTGGGGTCCACACTACATCGGACTTTAGTGATCCGAATCGTTTATTTTTCAAGTTGCACCTCATAGATCATCCTTGCAAAATATTAGCCAAATTGGAAATGTTTAAGACATCCAATTGGGTTCAAATAAATTAACGAATACTTTGTTATATAAGAAACAAGAAATTTTATCTTGATAATTAAATAGGCAAATGGTTTGAGATTGAAATGAATTATGGCAATGATGATCTATGAATCGAGACTTACAAAATAAACGGTTGGATCGTTGAAGTTCGATGTGGAGTGAGCCCCACAACTAATCCTCATTTAAAAAAAAAATAGGAATCTTTTTGCATAAATGGTCTGTATATATATAAAATACCTTTCAGCAAAATAAATTATCAAATGAAAAATTAACAATTTGGTTTTTTGCCACAAAATAAAATCACGAACAACCAATTTTAATTAAAAAAATAAAAAATATTTTTCCCACTTCTTTTCATATATTATACTAGCAAAAGCCTCGAGAAATATACTTTTTATATTTTTTAAATATTTGTTTTTATTTTTTTATGAGAGGAAAAAGAGAGAAGGAGAGAGAGTGAGTTTACAAGGACATAAGGAATTGATAAAGTGACATAGCTATGAGGTTTTAAAAAAAAAAGTAAAAACTTTTTGTACAAATTTACTTTAATGCTCACATTGTTTTTTTTTCTAATATTTTTTTTTTCAGTTTTGTATTATGAGAGGAAAAAGACAGAAGGAGAGAGAGTGAGTTTACAAAGAATTGATAAAGTGATATAGCTGTGAGGTTTTAAAAAAAAAAAAGTAAAAACTTATTTGTACAAAATTACTTTAACACTCATATAATTGTAATTTTATTAGTTTTTTTTGTTATAAATAATATTTTATTAATACGTAGTTTAGATTTCTCAAAAACATTGTTTTTTTTCTAATATTTTATTTTTTCAGTTTTGTATTAAAAGATATAGCAGTAATTTTATTAATTTTTTTTGTTATAAATAATATTTTATTAATAGGTAGTTTAGATTTCTCAAAGTTTGAATCTGGTAAATTAAAAAATAAAGAAAAAGCCCATTTTGCTCCCAATGCCATCTTCTACTTTCTTCCCCTCCCAACAATGAAAAACCCTCAAAAACCGAAAGGCTGGTGAGGAGGAGGACGACCATGGTGGCCACTGCATTGCTGCTTACTTCCTCTTTACTGCTGATTACGGCCCCGAGCCCAACGCTCTCGATCCTGTAAGTTCCTGTTTCTTCCCGCAATTTCATCTTCATCAGAAATCAAACTTTGATCTTGTTACAAAAAGGGTAGCGAGAAAATCAAAACTTAATCTCTTGGTTCACAATTTAATTTCTCAGATCTGCAATTCGAGCTCACAAATTTTGGGGTCTTTCCATTTCGTGTTCGATTTACAATTGTTAGCTGTAGAATGAATGTGGGTTGTGTAACTGTACTAGTTTGGTATACTTTGTTTTCGCTTTTCAACGATTTTGTTCATGTCTTTTTAGCAAAATGATAATGCGAGTGAGGTTTTGGTTAGTTTTCTCTGCTTGTGTAGTTACCACTCTCTAATTACAAATGTTTTGGTATTTGATTGTTTACGACGAAGCCAAGGTTGCGATTGTAAAAAGCTGCAGAAAATGTGATTTAGGAATGCTCTTGGACTGCTATACTGTGTAGATTGTTGAGCACTTCTTTTTTCTTCCCTAAATGTAGAGAGGAGCATTTTTAATCAGTTAGGAACGACGTATTTTGCGAAAATTGGTAGTTTAAGGTACCTTAAAGTACCTGAACCTAGTAACTCTACTTGCATGATCAATAACAAGAACAAAACTGAAAAGGAAAAAAAACTTGGTAAATCCTTGACTAGATACCAAAGAAGGAGAGTTGGATATCTATAAACTAGCTAAACCAAGTGAGGTGCATCAAGGATGAGGATGGAAAGGTTCTTGCTACAGAGAACGCGGTTAAAGACAGATGGAAAGGTTATTTTCATAATCTTTTCAATGAAGGACATGAAAGGAGTGCTTCTTTAGGGGAGTTGAGTAACTCAGAAGAGTGTAGAAACTACTCTTTTTATCGTAGAATCCGGAAGGAAGAAATGGTTGTAGCTTTGAAGAAGATGAAACATAGAAAAGCAGTAGGCCCAGACGATATACCAATCGAAGTGTGGAAAGTTTTGGGAGAGACAGGTATAACATGGCTCACTGACCTTTTCAATAGGATTTTGAAAACGAAGAAGATGCCAAATGAGTGGCGAACGAGCACTTTGGTGCCTATCTACAAGAATAAGGGCGATGTACAAAATTGCATGAACTATAGGGGTATTAAGCTAATGAGTCATTCAATGAAGCTCTGGGAGAGAGTCATTGAGCATAGATTGAGGCAAGAGACACGGGTTTCGGACAACCAATTCGGGTTCATGCCAGGGCGCTCAACCATGGAGGCAATCTATCTCTTACGAAGATTGATGGAAAGATATAGAGATGGGAAAAAGGATTTACACATGGTCTTTATAGATTTGGAAAAAGCGTATGATAGGGTCCCAAGAGACATTCTTTTGAGGATTTTAGAGAAGAAAAGAGTACGAGTAGCATATATCCAAGCTATACAGGATATGTATGAAGGAGCAAAGACTGCCGTAAGAACTCATGAAGGACAAACCGAAAGCTTTCCCATAACTGTAGGATTACATCAAGGCTCATCCTTAAGTCCTTACCTTTTTGCGTTGGTAATGGATGAGTTAACAGGACATATTCAAGATGATATTCCTTCGTGTATGCTTTTCGCAGACGATATAGTGTTGATAGATGAAACTCAGGAAAGGGTAAATGCAAAGCTTAACCTTTGGAGAGAAGTGTTGGAATCTAAAGGTCTTCGCCTAAGCCGATCAAAGACAGAATATATGGAGTGCAAGTTCAGTGCAAATGGAGGCCAAAACGAGTTAGGGGTGAGGATCGGAGATCAAGAAATACCAAAGAGCGACCGTTTTCGTTACCTAGGATCTATCTTGCAAAAGAACGGAGAATTAGATGGAGATCTCAACCATAGAATACAAGCTGGATGGATGAAGTGGAAGAGTGCATCCGGCGTGTTGTGCGACCGCCGTATGCCACTGAAGCTCAAGGGAAAATTTTATAGGACGGCAATAAGGCCGGCGATGCTGTATGGCACAGAATGTTGGGCGGTGAAGCATCAACACGTACACAAAATGGGTGTAGCGGAGATGAGGATGCTTCGTTGGATGTGTGGGCACACGAGAAAGGATAAGATTAGGAATGAGGATATCCGGGGTAAAGTAGGAGTAGCCGAAATTGAAGGAAAGATGAGAGAAAATCGGTTACGGTGGTTTGGACATGTGCAAAGAAGGCCTACTGACGCTCCGATTAGAAGATGCGACCATGAGACAGAGGTTCAGGGCCGAAGGGGTAGAGGAAGACCTAGGAAAACTTTGGAAGAGACCCTAAGAAAAGACTTAGAGTACTTGGATCTAACGGAGGACATGACACAGGACAGAACACAATGTCGTTCTAAGATTCATATAGCCGATCCCACTCAGTGACTTGGATTTTCCAAGTCTCCAACCGAGAAGTTTTCCTCACTCGGGAAATTAAGGGAACACTACCTCAACCTACATGCCCCACTCACAAAGCTTCAACATACAAGCTTCAATAAAAGAAAATTCAAAGAACTTAGCGAAGAAGGCTTTGGTGTATTTAACACAATACGTTGAAATGAAGGAAAGCTGATTTATTGATATCCCCGATCAGTTACAAATATGTACATATACTTGAGTCAAAATAAACAAACAAGAGGGAGCCTTCACAAAGGTTGCTTAGAAGAAGTCTCAGCAGTCGGTAGAGCCCCAGAAAGAGAAGGCACCGGAGGGGGATCCTTCGGAGCCTCAGTACTGGACAGAACCCTAGAAGGAGGAGGCATCAGAGGTTGATCGTTTGGAGCTTCATTACACGGTTCAGCCCCAGAAGACGAAGGCAATAAATGCCTTTGGAACAAACCCACAAATATCTGATGATCAAGTAAAACCTGACCATCAGATTCCTTCATCTGGTCAAGCTTCCTCTTCATGTTTGTAGCATAGTCATGTGCGAGCCGGTGCAACTATTTATTCTCATGCTTGAGCCCTCTAATCTCCTGTTTGAGACTCATCACTTTAGTCGCCAATGATTCAACTTGGCGGGTTCGAGCAAATAGGCGTTGGGCCATATTAGACACAGAACCTGCACACTGAACACTGAGAGCCAGAGAATCCTTAACAGCCAACTCATCAGACCGTTTGGAAAGTAGTCTGTTATCTTTGTGAGTGAGAAGGTTCCTGGCCACTACCGCAGCGGTCATATCATTCTTCATCACGGAATCCCCAACGGTAAGAGGACCAGTAGGGGAGACGAAGGATGGGCGCCATATGTTGTCTGGAGAAGGCGGGGCTACCTCTTCAACAAGGTTCAAGTCAAAATGACGGTCGGAGGGGCCAGACATTTTCAAAGGTGTTGAAGAGAGAAGAGGTCGGACAAATCAAGATCTTAGAAGTGCAAGAATGGAGCTTCTACTGGTGGATATTCAAGTGTGCTTTGGAACTTAATGTCAGCCCCTATAAAAATCTGCACTCGACGAAGCTTCAGAAATCGAAGAGGCGCCTGCTCAGAAATCAAAGAGGCGTTTGTTTTCTCAAAAGCTGGGCTGCTCAGAGACCACGAGGGTCGATCTCAGAAATCGAAGAGGCGTTGGCTTTCTCAAAAGCTGGGCTGCTCAAAGACCACGAAGGCCGATCTCAGAAATCGAAGAGGCTTGCTTTCTCAAAAGTTGGGCTGCTCAGAGACCACGAGGGCCGATCTCAGAAATCGAAGAGGCACCTACTTTTCCAGCCTTGTCAGCACCTGTCACACGCACACTCAGCTTTGCGAAAATTATGGGCATTCTGTCGAAGATTTCTGGCGAAGTAGAAAGCACATGAATCGTACTGTTCAATCACCCACTTCCCACACGCAACAGTAGCTCATGGGTACCACAGATAACTTTGCCAAAGTTCTCTGACAAAGTTGAGACACGTGAAGCTTGCAGCTCCCACTACATCGCTCTGACCAAGAAGGGTAAAAGAATAGCAAAGAAACAACACTACCAAAGTTTAGACACATCAATTTTGAAGGTCTAGCTACCATATTATTACCCACAAGGGTAAATGAACAGTACCACTGCTGGATAATTGGAAAGTCCCGGTGTGTCAACCTCTGTGCTTCGTGGCAAGGTAGACTAGCAAACATGCCCAACCTTTACTCACATTCGAGAAAACACTCCCAACAAGATTGCTTGCTCCAAAATCGAAGAGGCACCGTCCTCCGAATCTCGAGAGCCAAACTCCCAACATGATTACTTTCTCAAAAATCGAAGAGACACCGCTCTCCGAATCTCGAGAGCCAGACCCCCAGCATGATTGCTTTCTCAAAAATCGAAGAGGCATCGTTCTCCGAATCTCGAGAGCCAGATCCCCGACAGGATTGCTTGTTCGAAAACCGAAGAGGCACCACTTTCCCAACTTCAAGAGCTGGATCTCCTTGGATAAAGCTTGTCTGTAATCTTCACACGCAACATCAGCTTTCCAGATACCACAGACCACTTTTTCAAAGTGCTCTGACAGAGTTAAAACATGTGAAGCTGACAGCTCCCTCTACCCTGCTATGACCAAGCAGGGTAAAGGAATAGCATTATTACTTGATGTTAGGGAGACTCCTATATATGTCGACCTCCATCCCCAACGGACAGGCAGACTTGCAAAAATGCTCAACCTTTCCTCTTATCTAAGAGGGCACTCCTAACGAAGCGTTTCGAAATTTTCAGCTTTCTTTCCCCCCGATAATACCTCTGTAAACAAGCTATACTAGAGCAAGAATATCTCATATCATCAGGGTTAAAAGCAAGAGTATCCCATATCATGCTTTTTCCCTGTCTTTTCCTTTGGCCTTGTTCTTACCTGCAAGACAAGGAGAAAGAGAGCAATCAGTCAGCACTTGGAATCAAGCTTCCAGCCAGGAACTGACTGCCTGGAATTACTTACCTGGCATTGCTCTCAAGTACTCATCTTCAACATCTTAGGCTTCCAGGGAAGATACCACATCTGCCTGAGGAACAGCTAGGGCAAGTGAGAAGGATACAAGGAAGCATGTGGAGACAAGCGTAACAGCACACGTGCCGATACATCCACTACTCTGTCAAAAGCAAAAGTATCCCATATCAGCAGGGTCGAACGTACTCTAGATTTGATGGACTTGTTTTGACCCTCAAATTCTTCAGTCGGCCTTATACTCTGGAGGAAACCAGAAAACCCTCCAGCCCAGTTCAAGAATAAGCCTGTGGAAAGTTACTTCTTCAAAAGCAAAAGTATCCCATATCATCTCTTCTCATTTTTCTTCTCTTTATCCTTCATGCTGCCTGCAAGATAGGGAGAATGTGAACAATCAGCCGGAGCTCTGATTGCTTACCTTGTCTGTCACCCCTTTCAGCAGATACCCTAGCTCGGCGACTTGGGGGACTCCTACTACATGGTTTGTATCGCGCTTGACCAAGCCTGAAACTACAAGTAAGCTTCAAGTGAAATTGATACATTACCTTGTGCATCTCCACCAGTTACAGATACCACCCCTGGATGGAGGAAGAGTACTTCCAGAGAAGATGCCACATCTACCTATGAGACAGATAAGGCAAGTCAAGACGATACCACACTCCGGTACTTAAGTTTCGTGGTTACGAGATCATTCTCCCACAATATTTCCTAATGTCATTTGTACTAAATCATTCACTTGTACTCACTAAAGGAGAGCTTGAACCTATGTACTTGTGTGAACCCTTTACAATTAATGAGAACTCCTCTATTCCGTGGACGTAGCCAATCTGGGTGAACCACGTACATCTTGTGTTTGCTTTCCTATCTCTATCCATTTATATACTTATCCACACTAATGACTGGAGCAATCTAGCGAAGATCACAAAAAGTGACCGTTTTCGCTACCTAGGATCTATATTGCAAGAGAACGGAGAATTAGATGGAGATCTCAACAGAAGAATAAAAACTTGGATCTAACGGAGGACATGACACAAAACCGAGTGCAATGGCGTTCTAGGATTCATATAGCCGACCCCACTTAGTGGGAAAAGGCTTTGTTGTTGTTGTTGTTGTTGTTGTTGCTGTTTTATCTGCATTTGTTATCGTCGCTTACAGTTTTCTTTCGCTTGCAGTTCATTGATGCTGAAACAATGGTTTCTCCAACAATTTTTGCCCGTCGTAGTTTATCTTTTCTCATGAGTGACAAGCCTCAGGAACCTCTCAACGAAGCAATGCAAGCACAAGTAGTTTCCCCAGTTTGGCACATTGTATCTTATCTTCAGGGTGCTGCCCTTTCGGCCTTCTTGCTTGGAAGGACAGCTTTCTAATGATGATGGTACTGAGTTGGCATGGTTGGCTACACAATGTATACAATCTGAACCCTGAGAGCGACCAAATCCAAAGTCATTAGTTGCTTCTTTGACTCCTCTTCAGAAAGAGACTGAGGTTAGTTCTCTCCTCTGTTTCTCTAATTAAGCATTATATTCCCAACTTTACCCGGGGAGCATAGTTTGACTGTTTAAAATCTTCACACAATTGTTTCTAGGTCTATATTTTGGGGCAGTCTTGTAAGCAATATATTCATAAGTTATCTTCTTTTCACTGGACTCAATCTGAGCTATTTGTGTAAGCTCGTATCTAACTATTGACCGATTCATTAGTTGTATTAATACTGAACCTTGTACCAAGCAGAAATATTTGAAAACTTGGGAAAAGGACATGACTCTAATTTGTTATTAGTGAGGACTTGAGAGAGCTACACCTTTGTTTAGTGTCTTTCATGGTGAATGATACTCTATAAAATATCAATCTCTTATGCCCCAAATTTGAGGGTAGTTAACTACAAGGGTTTTCAGTGATACTATACCTGTCGGGTGCCAATTAGAAGCACTCAGATCTACACCATCGTAGTAGTTTAATCATATATAGTTATTGTAGTTTAATCATATATAGATATTGTAGTTTAATCATGATGCTGGTGGCTGTATCCTGGACCTCCTTTATTTCTTTTTGCTTACCTCTGCAGGTTCCTTCTTTTGTTTTGATGGGTATCCCACATGGTACCTTCTGGTCTTCTCTTTCACAAGTCGGTGATGCCTGCTCAAGAACGGATATGACCGCTATACATGAGATCCTAGAGAATATCGGCTATAAAGACGATGGAATGACAAATGAGGTTCTTTATTTTGTTTAATTAATGGAGAACTATCTAATAAGTTGTGTTTTGTATATATATATATTTAGCCTTCTCAATATTTACGTTCCACTGCAGTGCTCGTTCAAATGTGGACTGACCAAATGCAGGAATGATAAGATTCAAAGAAAATGGGGGATTCTGCTTTTAAGCACTAGGACATCAGAACCACAATTGAGTGTTATTCACAGGTTCTTATTATGATACTTGTGGGAAATTCTGAGTAGAGGTTTGATAAGAGTTGCGCTCATACCGATATCCGAATTTGGCCTTCAAGAGGATGTTCTTTATCTGACCTGTTAAAATAAATTACCAAACACAGCTTCGTACAGAATTTTTGTTTGGCATTAGATTTCCGGTCAGAACACTATCATTACATTTTATCTTCTGATTCATGATAGGAAGAATTGAAGAAATGAAATTGTTAGTTTAAGGTATTTTTAATCAGTCAGGAACGGCGTATGTTGCGAAAATTGGTAGTTTAAGGTACCTTAGAGTACCTGAACCTAGTAACTCTACTTGCATGACCAATAAAAAGAACAAAACTGAAAGAAAAGAAAAATTAGTAAATCCTTTTTAACTGCTGCTTTCTCTGCATTTGTTATCGTTGCTAACAGTTCTATTTCACTTGCAGGTCATTGGAGTTTGAACAATGGTTTCTCCAACAATTTTTGACCGGCGTAGTTTGTCTTATCTCATGAGTGACAACCCTCAGGAAGCTATAAAAGATGCAATGCAAGCACGAGTAGTTTCCCCAGTTTGGCACATTGCATGTTAGGCTGTTGCCCTTTCGGCCCTTGGAATGGTACTATGCTTGAATCCAAAATGAGCAAAGCAGCTGGATAGAAGTGAAACTCTAGGCCGCTCGACCAGGTTCCTAGCTTGCCACTTCTCTCGGTTTGGCTCTCAGCTTATATAGCCGTCGATCGATCATAAGGTTTAAAACCACTAGAGCCAAAGCTTCATCATTTCCACGGTATTAGATTTTGTCATTTTCCAGCAGTATATATTGTATTTGAATTGTTTGTTTGATTTGATTTTCCGTGCGTCAAATGATTCGAGTATATGAATTACTTTGACAAAATAGAAAGAAAAAATAGAAAGTTGTAAAAAAACACTGGTAGGGAGGATGTCATTCATAAGCTTGTACTTTGTGTGCAGAAAGCATATAGGATTCCTGGTGTATCATTTCTGATTAATAATAATAATAATTAGTTGTTAAACGTCGTCTGATCATTGATAGACATATGTACAAGACTGCAACCAATCCATTGAACTAAAATTTACGACGAACAAAACAATCACATGTAGTCCAGAATTAACTGAATATCTTTAGTTCATATCATGAATCAAAACATATACTGCAGAAAGGTCTTGATAAAGTAAACATAAACATAAACTTCTTACAAACAATTAACACTTACAAATCATCTGTCAAGTAGATTTAGTAGTAAAGTTCTTTATTATGACAACTCAATACTTTGAAAACTTGTACAGATAATGGTTCGTGGAAGCTCTTTCAGTGAAGTGAGGCCGTCTACACTGTCTCAGAAGATGCTGTAGATAAAAATAAACAAGCACATGTAGTTAGGTTTTTAAGAAGACAGTGAAATTAATCCGAATGACTTTACGAATAGATGCATGCTTATTGCTTAATTTAAGAAGGACAAATAAAATCACATTTACATACCATTGCTTAATTGAAGTGCTGCTTGATTGAAATCACCGTCACATAAAACCAATCATTCAAGACATTCAAGAACCTGAAGTACGAGTATCTCCATGACCTCACAAAAATCAGACTGCCACAAACTCCCCAAAATCCAACAATAAAGCCAAGCACCATGCTGATGTAAAATTCCCATGTTATAGGCTCATCCTCCTCTTCTTCGTTGCTCGAGATTGGAGTTTCCTGTTGATCACCACACATCTTTGGAAGTGGAGGTCCGCACAACTGAGGATTTCCAGCATAATCAGAGGGATCAAAACTTTGGAGCTGAGTGCCAGTTGGAATTTTGCCAATAAAGTTGTTGTATGACAAGTTCAAGACACCAAGACCATATATCTGAGCAAGGCTTGTTGGAATTCTGCCATCTATCTGGTTTCTTGACAAATCAAGGGCATCCAATGATTGCAACTTTCCAATCTTTGCAGGTAACTCACCTGTCAAATCGTTTCTCGACAGGTTTAAAGAAACTAACCCAACAAGATCCGTGATTTCACTTGGAATCTCCCCCGTTAATCTATTGCTAGAGAAATCAATTCTCTTCACAAGTCCCAAAGTGTTTTTGTACGAGTACATTCTTCCCTTCCATATAAATGTTGCATCATCCATATAACTAACCCAATAGGAAGTATCATCTCTTCTGTACCAATGTCCAATGGTCGGAGAAGAGTTTCCCTTCTGTGCCAAAACAGTAAAATTGCTGAGGCATTTTGGTATTGTTCCAGAGATGTTATTCGCAGACACATCCAAGTTTTGAATGTTTGTTAGACGGCATAGTTCAGATGGCATGCTTCCGTTGAAGTTATTAGAGGAAAGCATCAGGACAACCAATTTCTGAAGGCTAACCCCTAACCATTTTGGAATGGGTCCTGATAATTGATTGTACCCAACATCAAGAACTTTTAAACTGGTGCAATTCTTGAAGGATGAAGGAAACTCGCCAACAAATCTGTTGCTTCTTAATTTCAATGTTTCCATGCGATATAGTGAGCCCACCGTGGATGGAATTTTGCCGGAAAAAGCATTGTAACTCAAATCAAGCATGACTAGATGGTCAAAATGTGTCCAGCATTGTGGAAGTTCTCCGGAGAGATTGTTGTTTGAGAGATTAAGAAACATTAAACTCTCGTATGCTTCACACAAGATAGAAATTGACCCTGAAATGTTGTTATTAGAGAGATCCAAAGATGACGCATGCGATAGAGTTGAGGGAATTGGACCTTCGATTTGGTTCGAACTCAAATGTATTTCAGGATAATATGTAAAATTCATTGTCGAACTTGCAAACATTTCTCCAATTTGATTATTGGAAAGACTGATAAATCTCGCGTAACGAGTCGTACCCCAAAACCAGCTTGGAAGGATATCCACAATTCCAGCATCAGAAATATCGAGGGCTGAATACTCATTCTGAGTTTGAAGCCATTTTGGAAAATACGGACCCATTTTGCAAGATCCCAAATATATAAACTTCAATTTAAATGGAGGAACCCAATTAGAATTGAAGCTTAAAACTAGCGAGTTAGAGGACAAATACAAATACCGTAATTTGGAGAGTTGAGAGAAATGGGTTTCCGAAACCACACCTTCCAGATCATTCATACCCAAGTACATATACTCCAGATTAGACAGTTGCCCAATACTTTCAGGTATTGTTCCACTCAATTGATTTCCATCGAGATATAATTCCTCCAGATTAGACAGTTGCCCAATGCTTTCAGGTATTGTTCCACTCAATTGATTTCCATAGAGATCTAATTCCTCCAGATTAGACAGTTGCCCAATGCTTTCAGGTATTGTTCCACTCAATTGATTCCTATAGAGAAATAATACTTTCAACGATGAAAAGTTTGTAAGATTAGGAATTGATCCAGAAATATGATTGTAAGAGAGGGACAGAGACTCTAATGAGTTTTGAACACATGTAGACAACATTTGAACAAACTCGGAAAACTGTCCACTCAGACTATTATTGACAAGGTACAGTGATTGCAAACTGCATAAGCTGGAAAAAGAATGCGGATTCACCGCGTCAAATTTGTTATAAGAGAGAGATAGATAGACAAGAGAGGTCAAGTTTTCAATGACGCTGGGAATTAAACCAGTTAAACTGCTGTTATCGAGGCGAAGAAAGACAAGGCTAGCATTGTAGTTTGACAACCATAAATATATTGAAGGAGAAGTGCATTGGCTGTCAGAGAGTTCAACATGAGCAAGAGATTTTGAAGAATTTATGTTAAAAAGAGTACTGGAATGGATTACAGGAGAAGGAAGGCTACACTCCAGTAACGTCAAGTTTGTAAGTTTAGGGAGCTTACTAACTATTTCCAGCCAGTCATGAGCATTACTGAGATTGGTGCTACTCAGATCCAAATATGTTAAAGAAGAAAGATGAGGGAGCCATGATTTCAGATTTTCTACACTGTTAAAGTCATTCCCACTGAGATCAAGATATTGCAAGTGGGTAAGGTTTCCAACTTGACTTGGAAATCGACCACCATAAGAAGCATAAGAGAGATCGAGTTGAGTAACATGGTTGGTTCGGTTGCTGCAGTGGACGCGGACCCATTTGCAACAATCTTGCTTGTGTTCTTCTCTTCCCCACGAAGAGAGGAGATTGTAGGGATCCACGAGGCCGTGCTTGAAAGCAAGGAGTGCTTCTCTTTCCCTCTCAAAGCACCTCACCACTCCTTCCGAAGAAATATTTTTGAATCCAAGGGAAAAGGAAGGGTTGACAGCACATTGCAGTAAAGTGAACACCACAATTAGAGCACGAAAGAGTTTCATCAAGCACCTGATTCTGTCACCCTCCATCTTAATTCAACTAAATCAACCAAGAGACAATTGAAGCACGAAAGAGTTTCTTTAGGATTTTGATTTTGGAGCAAAAGGAAAGCTGCGCAAGTGTAGTTCAAAATGAACGGAGAAAAGTATAAATAAAATATCCAATAATTGTGAAGAAAAAAAACTCTTTCGTTGAAAGGTGGGCCTTCTGCAAGCACCTGATTCTGTCACCCTCCATCTTAATTTTGTCACCCTCAAACACTAAAGCAAGGTAGGCCTTCAAGTACCAAGCAGAGGCAAAGCAATATACGATCAAAAGATAGTCACATCTTTATTCAGGAATTAAAGTTGCCATAATTCAAGTGGGAATGCATTGACTTAAATTAGTAATTTAAAGTCTTGGTTCTTGGAATTATTCGTGTCAAAAGTTTAGGGTAGATTGGTTACTGATCACCAGCTTCAGAACATACCCACAATCTCAAGCTAGAAGGACTTAAGCGTGGCACCTAACTGTCAGCTGCTATCAGTATGGATTTACATAGGAATTTACCAATCGAGCACCAACGAGGACTGCTGGCAATGAGACTCGAACCTTGGTAGGGCGAGACACAAAGCAGAGACCTTACAAACTGAGCCAACCCCTGTTGGGTCCTTGGAATTATAAGTTCATAACACTATATTTGTTTTCACAGTTTTTATTCGTTTTAAATGTTGTTTGTCTTGGCCATTTGGCATGTGTGTGATTTTCGTCCTAATTTTTCATGCTCAAAACTCTATTTGGAATTATAAGTGCAGGACACAATTAAACAACGCCACAAAGAGGCCACGCTCAAAACTCAAAAAAAAGATAATTATTCAGAGATGATGCACAACTTAAGAGGCCCCTTGCTAATCTTGGTCACAGTTGTACATGATTGAGGATAGTTAGTAGCTTGGTCTTCAATTGTCATGTACAACAAGACCGTAATACTGAATGACAAAACTTTATTTTAAGTGAAATGTCTCTTTTATAAGTGAAGAAAAATACAACTAAATCATAGTACTAAATAACAAAACTATATTTTCATTAGAAAGTTTTCAAGATATGCGATCTTATATAGCCTTTCTATATAGAATGGTGTTTTTTTTTTCCTTCAAAATATAGTGCGCAAAATGTCGACATTGAGACAAGAATAATGTCAAAGAAAACATTTCATTGAAGAAGTACCAAGTCTTATAAATAACAGTTAAAAAAATGATTCTTACAAATAACAATTCAAAAAAAAGTTTCTTACAATTAACAGTACAAGGTCCTAACCCAGCCTTCAAAGGATAATAAAAAGAGTTTCAAAATTTTGAATAAAAATAATTTAATAATTTTAGTTAATTAAGACCAAAAATATTAACAAAAACACAAATTAGTTTTCTTCTCTTTCTTCTCTCTCCCCCCTTTCGCTCTTCGGATGAGGATTCTCTCCTCCTTTTTTCCCATCCACTCCCATCCTCTTCCTGATTGTGTGATTACGATTAAGTTACGTGAACATTTTATATTGATTTTTTTTATAAAGATAATAAGATAAAAAGACGTGATTTAACCGTGACCACACAAACAGAGAAATGATGGAAGTGGATGAGAAAAAAGGAGAGAATCCTCCTCCTTCGTCTTCAGTCTTCACCACCTCTTTTCTTTTTCACCCATCCCCTCTATCCACCCGTGCCTCATCTATTTCTTCCTGGATAATAAAAAGAGTTTCAAAATTTTGAATCTTAATTAAAAATAATTTAATAATTTTAGTCATTAATTAAGACCAAAAATATTATAAAAATATTAACAAAAACACAAATTAGTTTTCTTCTCTTTCTTCTCTCTCCCCCTTTCGCTCTTCGGATGAGGATTCTCTCCTCCTTTTTTCCCATCCACTTCCATCATCTTCCTGATTGTGTGATCACGATTAAGTCACGTCAATATTTTATTTTATATAGATAATAAGATAAAAAGACGTGGCTTAACCGTGACCACACAAACAGAAGAATGATGGAAGTGGATGAGAAAAAAAGAGGAGAGAATCCTCCTCCTTCGTCTTCAGTCTTCACCACCTCTTTTCATTTTCACCCATCCCCTCTATCCACTGCCTCATCTATTTCTTCCTAGATAATAAAAAGAGTTTCAAAATTTTGAATCTTAACTAAAAATAATTTAATAATTTTAGTCAATAATTAAGACCAAAAATATTATAAAAATATTAACAAAAACACAAATTAGTTTTCTTCTCTTTCTTCTCTCTCCCCCCCCCCTTTCGCTCTTCGGATGAGGATTATCACGATTAAGTCACGTCAACAATTTATATTGATTTTTTAATAGAGATAATAAGATAAAAAGATATGACTTAACCGTGACCACACAAACAGAGAAATGATGGAAGTGGATGAGAAAAAAGGAGGAGAGAATCCTCCTCCTTCGTCTTCAGTCTTCACCACCTCTTTTCTTTGGACTTGGATTCTCTGCCCTCCCATTTCGGTGTCCTCCCCGTGCCCTCCTGTTTTGTATGATCACGGTTAATCCATGCTAACATTTTATATTGTTTTTTATAAAAATAATAAGACAAAAAAAAAATAGTAATATAAAATATTGACGTAGCTTAACCGTGACCACACAAACAGGAGGGCATGGGGAGGACACCGAATTGGGAGGGCAGAGAATCCAAGTCCCTTTTCTTTTTCACCCATCCCCTCTATCCACCCGTGCCTCATCTATTTCTTCCTGTCTCTCTCATCCATCACTTTCTCTCACCTCTCACTAACACAAAAAGCCAAGTCCCCACATCTTATCTTGTTATATTATTATTCTTTTAAACTCTCCCCTCACTTCCTTTTCACCCTTCACAACCTCTATATATCGTAATTATTTTTTATGAATTTTTTTGTGATTTGTGTACAAAAAGCATATACGATTATCAATGTATTATTTTTTATGAAATAAATAATAGTTAGTTTATTAAACGTCATGGCATCGTTATTAGACATAGATATAAGTTACTACTTGGATTAAAATAATAATTAGTTTATTATACGATTCATTCAAAGGATACCACCCAAGATGAAGTTGAGTAACATGGTTGGTTCGGTTGCTGCAGTGGACGCCGACCCATTTGCAACAATCTTGCTTATGTTCTTCTCTTCCCCACGAAGAGAGGAGATCGTAGGGATCCACGAGGCCGTGCTTGAAAGCAAGGAGTGCTTCTCTTTCCCTCTCAAAGCACCTCACCACTCCTTCCAAAGAAATATTTTTGAATCCAAGCGAAAGGGAAGGGTTGACAACACATTGCAGTAAAGTGAACACCACAATTAAAGCACGAAAGAGTTTCTTCAAGCACCTGATTCTGTCACCCTCCATCTTAATTCAACTAAATCAACCAAGAGACAATTGAAGCACGAAAGAGTTTCTTTAGGATTTTGATTTTGGAGCAAAAGGAAAGCTGCGCAAGTGTAGTTCAAAATGAACGGAGAAAAGTATAAATAAAATATCCAATAATTGTGAAAAATATTTATACAAGAAAGATTATATTCAAACACCCTAAATTACTGTTTTCTCATTTTTTTTAATTTTTTAATATTTTCTACACACCACTATCATTTGATAAAAAAATATTAAAAAATTAAAAGACACTAGTTGATACTTAATTTCCCACCTTCTCCTTAATTTAAGGCACTAGTTGATACTTTATTTCCCACCTTCTCCTTGATTTAAGGCCTTTGTTTCGCACTTGTTGATGCTTTATTTCTCACCTTCTGTTTCCCACTTGTTCATACTTTGTTTCCCACCTTCTGTGACTTTATGGTACAACAGTACGTAATGATGAATAGTAAAGAATAAATGGACAAGATTGAAAATAGACTATTCAATACTTGTGGAAATTTTTGTACAATAAAATAACCAATGATTCTCCTTCTCCAATGTATTTGTCATTTCATCTTAAACACGCACAATCAAAAGTGGGGCTACAAGTAGCTATCAGAGGCAATACAATAGGTGATCAAAACATAGGCATATCTTTGTACAAGCATTAAAGTTTCCACTATTAAAGTGGGAATTGCAGAAAATCATGAAAAGATCACTGTAGCCCTTCGTCCGAAAACCTCCGCCTTGTAGATGTGGGGAGCGGTGTGGGTCTTCCGGGTTTGATCTTAGCCATTGCTTGCCCAGGTAAGTAACTACTGTGCATATTTGGCACATTTGAACAGGAGGAAGTTAGGAATGCAGAAAAAGCAATTCAGATTTTGGGTGCTTCCGTGTTGAACAATGCGCAGGCATGTCATATCTCTATTTGAAAACTTAACAAACCTATCATGTATATGGGGGAGAGAGAGAGAGAGAGAGCTAAAAATGTTTACTGATGTAACCTCTGTTTGTATCCAGTGGAATCGCACAGCCCATACGGACATGTATCCAGGAAAACATGTAACCTCTGTTCGTGTCTAGCCAGCCTTTACCAGTGCTTGTTTCATGTGACACACTTTATGATATTCCATTACCATCCAAAGCATAACTTATTTTGTCATCCATTTTATTTGAATGAATTACGAAACGTAAATAAAACCGAATGTATACTTCATACATCTATTTTCACGTGACAAGAAAGACAATTATACAGAGTTCTATCTAATTTCATGTAACTTATATATATACTCGATTTTATGTAAATTTTAACTCAATATACACCCAATTTTATGTAAGTTAAGATGATAATTATGGCCTTGCAGTTTAATCTGTCATAAAACACCCATATTTCCACCAGCGTTCATGCATTAGGCAATAAAGTTACTTATTAACCAATAAAAGAAGAAAAAGAAAAAGGGGTTCGTGAGAGGCAGGAGCTGCTATACCTGCAACAGGGAAAAAAGTGTTTTTTATTCCCTTGAAACCTGTTGATCTCTCAACTCTGCGTATCATCATTACATTGTGAAAGTGGGTTGACACCGCCCTTGTTGCAAAAATAGTATAAACAATCGAACATTAGGCTGACAACAGAACATGCACATTGCACACACTTTTGTTCTTGGTATAAATTGTGTAGGGATGCCCAACAATTCATAAGACAACACACCCACAGCCGGAAGTTGGTCTCTACAATGTTTAATCCATTGCAGATATAAATCAATAGATTCTGGTCCCTTTTTGATATTCTGTAAATCAATTTTCATTTGACCAATACTGGTTCTTGTCATATTAGAGAATCTTTCTTTGAGATCAGTCCACATTTCTCTAGAAGTTTGACAACCAATAACAGAGGATACAGCATCAGTTGATAATGTGTCAGTGATAAGAGTCATTAAAGCTTTGTCATGAATCTTCCAAACCTTAAAAGCATCAGCAATCACTGGTGGATTTTCAACAGTCTCATTTGCAAAATCAGACTCTACATATTTGTTTGGACAAGGTATGGAACCAGTAACAAACCCAAGAATTCCATATCCATCTAACAAGAGTTCCATTTGAAAATTCCATGTAACATAATTGGAATCATCAAGTTTTACAGTCACAGTGTTTCCAACACTGGGAATCAACGAAGAGATCGATGACTGAGTAAGAGCTAACTGAGCAACAATAACCATTTTTATATGAACACACCAAATCAACTAGAAATTCTAGCAACAGACAAAATCATCAACTTTGCAAGAATCAACACATCGACAATCGAAGATGAACAAATCAACAATCAACAATAATACACCACAAATCCATCAAATAGCAACATGATCTCCACCAAAGAAAGCAAGAATCAAAGAATGAATCAAGAATCAACTTTCATTATGCTTGCGCTCTCGTCATTGTTGCCCTTATTAAATACATTTTTAAATTTTAAGAATTGTTATTAGCATTTCAAAATTTTCATTATGCACTCCAAACTTTTTATATTTAGAAAAAGAAAATACACTTGTGAGTAGGGGTGCAACTCGGGGGACTTGAGCGGGTTAGATGGTCAACTCAATCCTAACCCAACATTCCTAATTCGGGTTTGGGTTCATGGGGTTTTACTCAAGTTCGGGTTTAAGTTGGGTTCAGGCTTACTTGGGTTTGTCCAATTTTACCAAATTCAATCTTCTAACACATTTTTTTATAAGATAAATCTCAAATTTTGAACCAAATAACGCGAAACTATTTAAAATTCAATTTTACACATCACCATCCATAAAAAGAATAAACCAAATAGTGTGGAACACATTTCAAAAGTTTCAACCACACAAAGTTGAAATTAAATGGCAAGACAATACCAACGTTTTAACCAAAAGTAAAGTAAAAGCAACATTATTGTTCATTGTTCAAATGAAAAGCAACAACAAACTCAAGTATGGCCTCCAAAACTCGTATCTAGCTTATATAATATGAAGTAGGACGGGTAATACGTGCATGAGCAATTTGAGCTAGAAATCAGATTGGATTTGGCTTGAAGCAAACATCAACCCAACCCAACCCAATAGGGTAGGTTTGAAAAACCGAAAACCGAAAAATAATCAAACTGAACACCGAACCGGATTAAAAAAAATCAAACCGAACTGGATTATATTGGCTCGGTTTCGATTTCAATAGTTCGAAAACCGAACTAAACCGAATTGAACCGAATTCTAAACCCATTTAAACGAGTTTTATGATACTTAACTAACCCTTACTAACTAATACATTACATTGTGTACATGTGCAATTAGTTTAAGGATTTGTTATTGTTTTTTATTGCCAACTGCTTAAGATGAAATGGATTTTGGCAGGAGCCAATTGCTTAACAAATACACGGTATGAAATGGATTCTATGTTAATTTCCCATTGCATATAATTATTAGAATTTAGTTTTTGCATTACAATTATTTGAGGTCAGTGCCTTATATGACCATGCATTTTAATTATGTTTGGTTATCCATGTTAGCTTAGCTTGATACAATTATTAGTATCATTTTTATTTTTTTTTTGGAAAGTGGGATCCAAAAGGATCGCCATCAAGGAGTTTTTATTAAAACAAACACAAACTTAGAAACAAAACAAATGCCTAAATTATTCCGAGAAACAAACAAAGAACAGGCCTAAAAACAAAGGAAACGCATAAAATGAGCTCAACAACAGTGAAGCCCAAACAAAAACGAACATCCAATAAACATCCATTGTGCTCTCCACCGCCAATCTGAGAAGTAGTCAGTCATCCAATCCTCCATACACCGCTGATCATCACCTCCACAGGCACCACCTGCACATAGCCATCAACAAGAGATAGTCGGCGAGAGAGAAGCCAACCATCGGAAAGAAGCTCTAAGAAAATCTCGAGCAACATTGCTGCGAACGGCAGACAACAAGGAGAACGTGGTGATGTGGGAAACACCCGAGCCGGATACAACACCAAAACTCTACACACGAACTCTACAGAAACCATGGCTGAAAAACAAAGCACGGAAGGGCCATGAAAGGGGATACCTATGGGGGTTGAGGGATGGGAAAAGCCAGAAAGGAAAAGGAGAAGAACCATCAGCAGATGGAAGGGGAGAAGAAAGAAAAACAAAAGCAGAAAAACTAGAGGAAAAGGTAAAAGACCATCAGCAGATGGAAGGGGAGAAGAAAGAAAAAACAAATACAAAAAACCACCACTGATCTCAGCTACAGCTAGGATCAGTGGCACCAAACGGAAGCACGATCGGGAAATCACTCACACAATATGGTGAGAAGCACCTTCAAACAAAGGGAAGAACTCTCACAAGGAGAGAAAAGAGGAAAGTTTCCCGGGTTATCTCCGTTTTGGTTTTGGCATTCCTCCACGCTCATCCATTATTAGTTTCATTTTTGGTACTGGAATGTATGCGTCTTCCCATATTTTTGGTAATGGAATAAACATGCATCTTCCCTCCCTTCGAAGTTTCAACAATGCATGCATTAGTGATATAGTGTACCATGCAACGGTGTTAGTACTTATTGAGAAAAAAAAATATACATACATATACATATATATATATATACACACACATACAGTGGCGGATCCAGGAAATAATGTTTGGGGGGTCAACAAGGATAGCGCGCGCAGCGCGAAGTTTTTTTTTAACAGAAACGGCATGCATATCGTCATTTCATCGGGTCTTGGTAGGATAGCGTGATCAGCCTCTCGCCGATAGTTACCATACTGAAAGGTGCCTTCACTTTCCCTGACAACAAAAAATAAACATAAAATTGGGTTGGATGGTTCATAATAAACATAAAATTCTGATGTCAATATGGTGGTTCATAATAATATTTTTTAGAGATCATATTAATTTATGTTGAATATAAAGAGAAATAAAGTTGTTAAATATGTGGATGTGGAAAGGGCACACACATCATTACCATTAATTTATGTCAAATATGTGGATGTGGACGCATGGGAACTTTGCAATCTGCACCAAGACTTAATGGTGACATCTTCAACTTGACACACGAACCGAACTGACAGCCCATGGCTTTTTACACAAAGCAAGCAATTTGATGCTAGCTGTACAAATTTGATTGGAGAGAAACTAAGAAAAAAAATTAAATAAGAAGAGTGTGTGGTCACGTGGTGTGAAAGGAAGAGAGAGAACGTCTTCGTCTTCCTCTTCCGCCAAACCGAACGAAAACCAGAAGAAACCCAGAAAAATGCAGCAGCTCCAAGAGGTCGCACCAGCAACTTTAAGGGATCGCACCAGCAGCTCCAAGGGACCTCTAAGGTTATTTCCATGGCTTCCAAGGGGTCGTGCCACCCCATTGACCCCACTGTGGCTCCGCCTCTGCACACATATACACACACACACACACACACATATATATATATATATATATATATATATAGAGAGAGAGAGAGAGAGAGAGAGAGAGAGAGAGAGAGAGAGAGAGAGAGAGAGAGAGAGAGAGAGAGAGGTATTCATCAATTCCCCCTTGAACTTGTGATCATTGGCTAATTCTCCCCCTCAACTTTAATTTTGGCCAATTTCCCCTCTCAACTCTCATAATTAGTCAATTTCCCCCCTCAACTTTAATTTGGCCAATTTCCCCCTCAACTCTCATAATTAGTCAATTTGCACCCTACTGTTAATTTTTTTTTTAATTTTCCATCTATTCTTTTTTTTTCTTTCAATCTTTCTAATAACTTCCAACAAAGTACTAAAATTAACATAAACTCACGAGCATAATATAGGGTAAAATGTACAAAAACATAATACAATTAGTATGTGATATGGGTTGATTATAAGAAAATGTTATGAATCAGGTTTAAAGCATGTAGAAGAAGAAATAATAATCCTAAACTCATGGATCAGACCTATTTCAATAAAATGGGTTATTCTTAATAAGGAGTCGAAAATTATGAATTGACTAGCCTTTTTTGCACTAAAGCTCGATTCTCCGCAATTTACTTGAACTTAGTTTTCACTTTTGTAAAGAAAATTGTAT